ATTCAAACCAATCTCACTGCTTATTCCTGTGTGCACTGTGACCTAAGAAAGGCTCTTCCATTTTTTAATGGTTGAGAAAAAAATAATCAAAAGAAGATTTTGGGGACACACACAAGTTAGGAAGAAATTCAAATTTTAATTTTCATGGTACACTTTTATTGGATGATGGGCTTGCTTGTATTTTGCATGTTCTCTGTGTCTGTTTCCATGCCACATGGGCAGAATCCAGCAGCTGCAACAGAGACTGAATAGTCTGCAAGGCCCAAAATATTTATTCTCTAATGTTATAGGAAAAGATCATCCAGACTTGGTTGGAGCCACAGAATCATGTATTGCTGATTTGAGAAGAAGTTTGGAGGTCAGTGGTTCAGGATGATTTTTAATTCTGTGACGATGGCAGAAAGGATTGACACTTGCTTAGCTCCCTAGGCCGCCGTAACAGTTGCAAGATGCAGTACCGCAGTGTGTCTTCATCCAAGCATAGTGTCTTCATACGTAGGGTGTTAAAGTCCCAGGTCACATTTTGAGAAATAATTATGAAAAAATCTCCAGCAGGATTTCTTTTTCCTTTATCATTACTATTTGCCAGAACTGGGTCAGGGGTCTACCCCTATATGCAAAGAAGGTTGCAGAGTGAGCACTGGCAAAAGAGAATGGGATTACGTGAGATGCTTAGATGTGAAGAGAGACAGTCTACCACAAGAGGCTTTAGTTTGGTGGTTTCATGGAGGATGGTACATCTGGGCACAGTGAGATAGGAGAGCATCTGACTCTGATGCCCCACTGACTGAACAAAATCCAAATCTACCACCTAACATTGTGAAACCTCACAAACAACTGAAATTCTGTGATTCCATGGAATGTCAAGACCTTGAGTCCAATAAATTTTCACATTCCAATAAATTCAATAATTTTTGACAAATTTATAAACTGTGGAGACAACATCCTAAACTAAAAGGAAATATTTCTATCACCCCCAGAACCACTCATGACTCCTCCCAGGTAATCCCTAACCCTGTCTGGCCAACTGACACCTGCTCATTTAATTTCTATCATCATGGAATTCTTTAGCTTCTTCCTAGCCTCCTATGAATGCAGGCATGAAGCACGTACACTCTTCTATGTGGCTCCATTCTCTTGATCTAACATTTTTGAGAGTCATCTGTTTGCATTGTTCTTTGCATTTAGTAAGTAATATTCCATTTCATGAAAACACCACAGTAAAAAAATTCTCTGGTTGGAAGACATGGCATTGATTTCAGTAACCAATGTGGTCAATAAGCTCTGCTGCAATGGGTTTTTAACATTCCCACTTGTTAAAGAAAGGATGAACTGATAGCCATCCACTTATTATATGCCCAATAACATTTCACAAAGAAGGGTGTGAATAAATATATTCCTATTTCTGAAAGGAGAAAAGACTGGGATCTATTGGAAATAAAAAATCTAAAGTCACAAGTCAATGGGTCAATAATCTTTATCAGAATAGAATATAAATTCCACCTCTGAAGCTAAAAACTATTTATAATTTTAAGTAAGCAGGCACAGTCTAACAACACAAATAAGTTTTAAAATGTAGTTTTTCTCTAACAAACATTCAAAGATTCATATTAAAATTGATCTAGTTTTATGAGACAATACTTCTTTCAATGAGACAATACTCTGGCTCACAGATTTTGACAGAAACTCAATCTCATGAGGACATATTGTGGAATACATAGAGGTTTCGAATGAATACTTCTGGCTTTGATGTAATTACCTGATAATTTTCTTCCCTAGGTTTCTTCCTCTGTTAAGGACAATGGTTAACTCATTTATTACAGGTAGAAAAATAATTCTGTCGAACATTGTCCTAATCATAAATGTCTCTTCATAGTTTTCTCCTTGGTCATTAGTTTACACTTGAGACACTTTGGTTTAAGGCTGAGTTGACATTAGTGAATGAAGCTTGAAGAAATCCTGTTCATATTACAAAATTCTCTCATGGCATCTCTAAGACATTCCACCACACTAAATTTACAACACACACAGGTGAGGTCAAAGCAGTGTAAGGAATCCCCATGTTCTCCACACCTCATTTCAATGCTTACAAATTCAGAGCAAATCTGCTTCAGCTAAAGCAGGGCATCTCCAGGGAAGTCCTATGGACACTGGGCTGGGTAATTCTCTGCAGTCCTGCAGACAGTCCTGTGCCTTGTAGAATGTGTCACAGCCTCCTTGGGCTCTCCCTGCTTCATGTCACCAGCACCTCCCTCACCAGCCAGCTTGGACAACAGCCAATGGCTTCACACATTACCCAGTGTCCTCTGGGGTAAATCACCCCTGGCTGGGAACCACCCATCTATACCTCTTCCACACCACAGGCTTTGGAATGTGCTATTTCAGTTTCCCTAAGTCTCAGCCCAAACTCTTGAATACTGTCATTTTATATCAAGCCTCTCCTGATGAGCAGGAGAGGGATCATTGCCTGTGTATAGCACCATGCAGGTGAGTGTTCTGTGAATTCTGGGTGAATTTAATTCGTTCACATTTCATGTTTTTTTTTCCTACTAGGCTTGTGCAGGTCCTGCTTCCCCTGAGATATTCTGCCTGATTAGGAAGGGGAAAGGGTACTGATCCCTGGAGACCTCCTCTCACCTGATCATGCCATCCCCTGTTTCCCTTTTAAGCAGCTTGATTTAAGGCTGATTTGCTAGGGTTTTTAGTTCTCTGTGGAACACCTGGGAGGCAAGTCTACTTGGCTCTTGTTTTTAAGTTCAGATGGATCTGAGAAACTGGTACCTCAGTCTCCCACGTTCTCAAGTCTAAAGCTGTAAGTAGAATAGATCCCTCATCTTCAGACTCCAGGAGAACAAAAATTCGGGTCCTAGATTGGCCTGATGTATCTCCGCTGGCTAACTGGCAGCATGCCTGCGTCCAGGGCTGTTCTCAGGGAGGAATTTACACCTCTATTTTCAGAACAGAGAAGGTCACTGTGGTGAGTTCAGCAAAGACACAGAAACACTGGTGTCAGCTTTGTTTTGTGAACATGGGCTTCTTTGGTATGGGATGATTGATTCACTCTTAAAGCACAGGGAATGGGTCCCTAAGGCGTATGGTGTTTTACAAAGTTTTCTTGGGTGAATGTTGAGGGCAGCAATGTGCCAGCATCTGGAATTCAGGAATGAAGAAGATATGGTCTTGGTCCTTGGGGACTTTGTTCTTTCAAGATTTGCTGAACACCTATAGTATAGCAAATACTGTGCTTAGAAGGCCAGGGAAGACACACACACCCAGGGTCATTAAAACCCTGACACTCACTGAGTGCAATCAGGTGGTGGTCACAGGAGTAAGCAGTGGAGATGGCATGGTGAGAAGATGCAGTCTCTCCCTTAGGAGGCCCATGCTACAGGAGGTAGGTGGCCACATAAAACAATATAATCCAGTGTGAAGCCCTGTGATTCCAAAATATCCAAGGGAAAGGGGGCCACCAGCTGTGAGGGACTCTGGTCTGACAAAACAGATTTCCTAACTGAGAAATATCTAAGGCAGCACAGAGGACAGGAACAGAACTTAGCCTGGGATGGACCTGGGAGTGGGAGTCATGCATCTCTGAGGTAGGTAAGACCTGCATGTTACTTGAGCTGTGAGTAGGGAAGAGGTTAAATAACTCTCTAGGTAGATGCAATGGTATTAGCCTGAATCTCAATCAGAAGATGCAGGTCTCCTTCGCGAATGTAGGGAGATCCTGTCTCAAAATAAAAAATAAATGATTCAGGGTGCAGGTCAGTGTTAGAATGCTTAACTAGTGGGGTTGGGGGAGAAATAGCTTTTAATATTACATAGATACAATCTGAAAACATGCATTTTAATCCAGGAAACCAGACTATTAGCACACTTAAGCCTTCTTCCATGAATGGTTTGGTAGATTTGCCCAGGGATCTAAGAACTTGCTATGAACCTTGCCTTCTCTTTGTTTCTGTAACAATAAATTCTCTCCTTGAGTTACCTCTGGGTCCTGATGGTACTTAATCACCTCAGCCTGTCTCCATCACTGAAGAAAAGAAGCTTTGTGGTATGAGGGTAAGTCGTCTGGCTCCAGTATCAGGTGCTCTAGAGTGTCAGGATGTGAGACCACGGCTCATGTACATTGACCTCAACTAGCTCAGACACAGTCCAGAATGGAGCAGGACTACCTGCATATCAGCCAGTAGAGAATCTTGGTGATGTCAAGGTGTTGAGAGACTAGGAGGTAGAGAGGGATGGGTCAGAGATTGAGTGGGCCCTGTGGAGGGATGTAGGAATTTTGTTGGCACTGGATGCATAATGCTTGGAGGAAATGAAAAGTGCCCATGAACATTGTGCATGGATTGAATGGATCCTTAGAAAGCAATAAGGCCACAAGGAGACCAAGCTTAGAGGACAAGAAATAGGAGGGGAAGTAGAAATAAGGACTCAGACAAAGCTTGTGGCCCCTTGGGGGTTCTGAGTCCAGGGAGGTGCACCACAGGACATCTCTTCTAAGACTCTGAAGTGTTGTGGACAGGATGAGGACACTGTTTTTGAAACCAATTTTAGGAAACAAGCAAAATATAAGTGTAATGCAAGAAAGCTGCAGTGAAAGGTAAAACAATTAGCCAAGGCAATAGAAAGATGTACTACAGAGACCCAGCCACACTGTCCTGTCTGCCCACATTGTCCAATGAGAGGACGTGCTGTCATTTACCTGGCTGCCCCTCTGCTCTGCTTCCACTACTCCAAACTCTCCATACAATATCATTTCACTTTCCAAATGACAAACATTTTTGATGACTTTCCATTTTCTACAGAATAAACCCCAAAATCTGTAAGAGTACTTCCACACACAGGTACCAAACTCTCTGGACAGCCTTATTTGTTGTTTTTGTCACCTTACTCCAGCCACACACAATGTGTCCCTAGTTGCTGTCTCCATTCTCGCAATGCTCTTCCCTTCTTCGATCAAGAAGACTTATCTTTCAATATCTAGCTCACAAGCACCTCAGACAGGCACGTTTGTATGTATCTCCTCCCAGTTCATGAAGAAGTCGTTATTTTCTATCATTTCAGATCACACCATTCAAATAGCTGCCTGTTGGTGGTGACCTCATGGCCAATACATACAACGTGACTGAATTCATTTTCCTGGGATTGTCTCCCAATCAGGAAGTGCAGAAAGTTTGCTTTGTGATTTTTCTGCTCTTGTACGTGGCCATTGTCCTGGGGAATTCCCTCATTGTGCTCACTGTCCTGACCAGCAGAAGTCTGGGATCCCCCATGTACTTCTTCCTCAGCTACCTGTCCTTTGTGGAGATCTGCTACTCCTCTACTACAGCCCCCAAACTCATCTCAGATCTGCTGGCTGAGAGGAAAACCATACCTTGGTGGGGCTGCATGACACAGATTTTCTTCGTGCACTTCTTCGGGGGCATCGAAATGTTCATTCTCACAGTGATGGCCTATGACCGCTATGTGGCCATCTGCAAGCCCCTCAACTACACCACCATCATGAATCGGCAGGTGTGCATGGTCCTGGTAGGAATGGCATGGGTGGGGGGCTTTGTGCATTCCCTTTCCCAGATCCTTCTCGTCTTCCAACTGCCCTTCTGTGGGCCCAATGTGATTGACCACTATTTCTGTGATGTGCTCCCCTTGCTCCAACTGGCCTGCTCAGACACTCTCCTCATTGGTCTGCTGATTGTTGCTAATGGGGGGACCCTGTCTGTGATCAGCTTTGTGGTCCTCTTGGTGTCCTATGTGGTCATCCTGCTTCATCTGAGGACTCGGAGCTCTGAGGGGAGGCACAAAGCCCTCTCCACCTGTGGGTCCCACATCACCGTGGTCATGTTGTTCTTTGTACCCTGTGTCTTCATCTACATGAGGCCTTCGACCACTCTGCCTGCAGACAAGATGGTAGCCGTGTTCTACACAGTGGTGACCCCACTCCTCAACCCTGTCATCTACTCCCTGAGAAATGCTGAGGTGAAGAAGGCCATGAAGAGGCTGTGGACCAGGACAATGAAACTAGGTGGGACATAGAGGCTGAGCCTTGGTACTGGTCCTTGGCTTTGGAATGATACTGGGTTCAAACTTAAGAGGCACAATGGATAGAAGGAGGTTAATTCTAGAGTTACTAGAATTATATTATATTTTATATTAAAAAGGGTCCTTTTAATCACCCGTAAAATATTTCCTCTTGTGGATGTATTGAATATACCTAGCCATTTTCTGTTACTTCTAGTTTTTAGTACTATAAATAACACTCTTTTAAATATCCTTGAATATAAATCTTTAACAAACTTCTGATTTTGAACTCATTGCTATGGTGAGTTTAACTCTCTTTAAGAGTAAATTTGCTCAGACTATTCAAAAATATTGAAAAGAAGGGAACTCTTTAAAATTCTTTCTATAAGGTCAGCATGACCCTTATATCAAGCATATACAAAGAGACAACAGAAAAGGAAAACTGCAGACCAATATTCTTTATCAAAAAAAAAAAAACATTCAAAAAATTTTCAACTAGGCTAGAGATGTAGCTCGGGGGTAGAGTTCGTTCTTGCCTGGCCTACATGAGACCTTGGGTTTGGTCCTCAGTACTGAAAATAAAAAAGAAAGATAGAAAGAAAAGAAAAAGAGACAGAGACAGAGATAGGGAGAGAGAAACTTCCACAGAGTAAGTTTGCTTTTACAGTTCTTTTTAGTTGTATATAACATTAGGATTTTGACATGATTATGAAAGCATAGAATATAATTTGCTCTAATTCAGTCCCCAGAACATCAATATCCCTCCCCTCTTCCCTCCCCCTATTTCCTTTCTTCTACTCTACTGATCTTTTTGCTACTTACAGTATTTGTCTTGTGGATGCACATGATAGTGAGATTCTCTGTGGTATAATCAATCATATATGCACATAGGAAAGTTAGGTCAGATTTATCCCACTGTTCTTCCTTATCCCCAGTAAGTTTTGATTGCCTCATTTGTTAGCCATATAAGAACAAATTTAAAACATGAAGAGGTAAATAAACTACATTTAATTTAGGGTTGGGGATATAGCTTAGTGGCAGAGCACTTACTTATCATATGGAAGGCCCTGGGCTCACTCTCCAGTATTGCAAAAAAAAAAAAAAAAAAAAAAAACATTCAACAAAGTAATAGCAAACTGAATTCAACAACACATCAAAATATACAGGGAAGGAAGGAAGAAAAGGAGGAGGAAGGAAGGAAAGTGATTTCAATCTGTAAAACATCTATTAAATCATCCTCTGTCCAGGGATGCAAGTATACAGTACTTTGGGATAGCATAGTGGAATAACCATGGGTGACAGTAATTAATTAATATTTCATAATAATTGGTGGAGAGAATTTTTAATGTTCCCAACATGAAGACATAATAACTGTGTTAGGTGATAGATGTGTGATCTGATCTGATCATTACACATTTCACACATGTATTGAAACATCACATTGTACCCCATAAACATATAAATTACTATGGAGTGAAGAATAAAGCAAGGAAGTGATTTTTTATTTGTTATACTTAGTGATACATGACAGCAGAATGCATTCCAATTCCTCATACACAATAAAGCACAACATTTCAATTCTCTGGTTGTGCATGATGTAGAGTCACACCATTTATGCAATCATATATGTACCTACGGTAATGATGTCCATCTCATTCCACCATCTTTCCCACCCCATTCTTCCTCCCCTCCCCACCCTCCCCTTGGCCCATTCCAAAGTTCCTCCATTATTCTCATGTCCCCCTCTCCCCATTATGGATCTGCATCCACTAATCAGAGAAAACATTTAGCCTTTGTTTTGCAAGGATTGGCTTCCTTCACATAGCATGATACTCTCCAACTCCATCCATTTACCAGCAAGTGCCGTAATTTTGTTCTTTTTTAATGCTGAGTAATATTCATTGTATGTATGTATGTGTGTGTGTGTGTGTGTGTATCACAGTTTCTTTATCCATTCATCTATTGATAGGCACCTGAGGTTGTTTCCACAGTTTAACAATTAAGAATTGAGCTGCTATTGATGTGACTGTGTCACAATAATATGCTGATTTTACGTCCTTTGGGTATAGACTGAGGAGTGGGATAGCTGGATCAAATGGTGGTTCCATTCCAGGTTTTCTAAGAAATCTCCTCAAAAGTGTTGTACCAATTTGCAGTCCCACCAGCAATGTATGAGTGTACCTTTTCCGCCACATCCTTGCCCACATTTATTATTGCTTGTATTCTTGATGACTGCCTGTCTTAACTGGAGTGAGATGAAATCTTAAAGTAATTTTGATTTGCATTTTTCTAATTCCTAGAGATGTTGAACATTTTTTCATAAGTATGCTGATCACTTGTATATCTTCTTCTGAGAAGCGTCTCTTCAGTTCCTTGGCTCATTTATTGATTGAGTTGTTTGGTTTTTGGTGTTGTAAATTGCAATGCACTCTCTAAAGTGCGGTAAGTGAGGTCAGGTGGTGTTTCAATCACTATTTACAACATGCTTCTCAATGCCTGGCTTCTAACACGTTTGAACTAAATCTGAGACCAACACAAATGTGACAGAGGTAATTATCACTGGCCTTTCCTGGATCCAGATGGGTAGAGAGTGTGTTTGTGGTGCTCCTTCCCATGTAACTGGCCACAGTGTGAACAATGACCTCCTAATTCTGATAGTGACCTGGCTATTTCAGACATTCTTCTTCAACTTCTTGAGGGTGAGGAGTTCCTCCTGTTCACAGTGATGAATTATGACCACTGGGATATTTGCAAGACTCTTTAATATATAACACCATAATCCTACCTGACTGTCACCTTTTGATGGATGACTTGCCAACAGGGCATAATTCCTTCTATGGTTCAGATCCTTCCTCTGTCCAGTTACCCTACTGTGTTCCCAACATCGTTGCACAGTGCTTCTGTGGTGTCCATCATTTCCTCAAGATTGCCTGGGCTGAGAGCTTTCCCTACGAGGTGACTGTGTTCACCAACACTGAACTGATCTCTCTTTCCTCCATCCTCATCCTGCTGTCTTGTATACTGTCATCCTGGACATCTTGGGAAGCCTTCTGAAGAGGAGGGATGAACACCTCTCCCCACCTGTGCCTGTCCATCACAGTGGTCATGGCTAAAGTTTAGAGCAGAAATGTGGCCCAAAGACTTATGTGTGAAAGGATTGACCCATGGTCTTTGGCAATATTGAAAGATAATGGAATCTTCAGCAAGTAAGGCCTCATGGTTGGAAGTTAAATCACTGACTCAAACCCTCAAAGTGGGCATTGGGATCCTGGACCCTTTCTGTCTCTCTTTGTTTCTCTGTTACCATGGGGTGAGCAGGCTTCCTCCATCATGGACACCTTCCATGATGTATCATGATACCACAGGCCAAAGCAACATGTCCAAATGACTATGGACTGAAACCCATGAAACCATGAGTGAAAATAAACTTTGCTCCCTAGAAGCTCTTCACATTAGAAACTTTTTCATAGCGATGGATGCCTCCAACTGAATAGTATCTAAATCTATACTTAACATCCCTGAAAACTCATAAACAGCTGATTGTAAAATCTTGAGTCCAATAATATTTCACAGTTCAGTAAATCCAATAATTTTTGACAAATTCACGTACTATGTAACCAATATCCCAAACAAAAGGGGAAGTATGTCTATCATTCCAGAAACTTCTCATGATTCCTCTCAGGTAATCTCCAACCCCAACTGGCAACACTCATCTAATCTCTATCAGGATAGATTAGGTAAGCCCTTCCTAGACTCCTATGAATGCAAGCACGAGGCATGTATATTCTCCTAACTAGCTTCATTCTCTCAATGTAATGTCTTTGAGACTCATCTTTATTTTCTCTTCCAAGAGATTATTCTTTGTATTTAGTAAATAGTATTCCATCTCATGAATATATAACAATAAAAAATTCTCTTGTTATAGACATTACATTGATTTCAGCATTTGACTGTGGTAAATAAAAATTGCTATGATCTTTTTTTTCTATTTTACTTTTACATTTGTTTAAATAACAGCATTAACTGATAGCCATTGATTTATTACACATTCCAGATAACTTTTCCCAAGAAGTGGTGTGAATTTCTTCTATGACTGAGAAGAAAAGAATTGGTGGAGTATAATTGGAACTGAAAAAAAAAAAAGTCTTAGTCAATGGGTTAAATCAATCCCAGAATAGAAAATAAAATCAACTTCAAAAGTCAAACACATTTCACACTTTTAAGTGTGAAAAACAAGCACAATTATATACCACAATTATTTTTAAAAGGTAGTTTCCCTATAACACTTTCATACACATATTAAAATTAATCTTCCTTATATTTATTAAGCCAAATTTTCAATGTAGACAATACTTCGGCTGATAGATTATCACAGAAACTTGACTTCTTCAGAACATATTGCAGAATACATAGAGGTTTTGCATAAATACTTGAGGCTTGGGCTGGGGCTGGGGCTCAGCAGTAATACACTTGCCTGGGATGTATGAGGCACTGGGTTTGATACTCAGCACCATAAATAAATAAATAAACAAACAAATAAAGGTCTATTAACAACTTTAAAAAAAAATACTTAAGGCCTTGATGTTATTACATGCTAGAGGTTGTTCCTGTATTTCTTTATCTGTAAAGGAAAATAGATAACTCACTCAATCATTAAAGGTAGAAAAGTAATTCTGTCAAACATTGACCTACATCATAAAATGTCTCTTCATAGTTTTCCCCTTAGTCACTATTTGACACTAGGGATTCTTAGTTTTCAAGGCTGGGTTGACATTTGTGAGTAATGCTTGCATACAGTTCATATATTTTAAAAAGTTCTCCTGTGGCATCTCTAAAACATTCCATCACACTAAATTTACAACACACACAGGTGTGGTCAAGCACTGTAAGGAATCCCCAGATTCTCCACGCCTCATTTCAATGCTTATGAATTCAGAGTAAATCTGCTTCAGCTATAGCAGGCGATCTACAGAGCAGTCCTGTGGACACTGGGCTGGGTAATCCTCTGCTATGTGGACAGTCCTGGCCTGTAGGATGTGTCGCAGCCTCCCTAGCTCTCCCTGCTTCCTGTCAGCAGCCCCTCCCTC